TAAAACTTACTGTGAAGATTCTGAAATTCTGCTCCTCAGACCTTGGCATTCAGCAGTAAATGAAAGAACTGTTTAGTCTTTTAACAGCACAGTTGAAATCTGATATCAGTTGTGTGTGGCACAAATCAAGTAGGTATTAGAGAGAGGGAGTTTGGAGTTCTTATGAAGCTTTTACAGGCTTGAATGCAATAGGGATTTCCCCACTGGGTTGTAGCAGTTTTTAACAAGTTAACTTCTGGAGTTTCACCAGAATGTCACTGCTCTGAGCAACCATTGCCGTGAGGAATCTGATTGTTGGAGAAGCAAGACTCTAGATAACAAAAAGCTGCTGCTGTGCAGGTGGGAGCAGCCTGAGAGAGTTCAAGGTAGTGCTCTGTCGTGGTTTGACACGGAAAGAGAATTTCTAGATTCCACTTCACAGCATTCAAGGGAGGGATCACATTTTCATGGGGGCACTGGCGTTGTGCCAGTGTCAAACCATGACATGCTCCCAGATGGCAGCGGCGGCTCAGGGGCTGCACCCTCGGCAGCTGCCTTCAGCCAGCATCTGCTGCAGGCTTGTGGGATAACGCTGTCACCTAATGAAGGCTGGCCCGGGGCAGCAATGTGGTCACTTGTGGCTGGTGCTGGAGAAGAGCCCTGCTGGAACATGCTTCCTCTGCTGGGCTGTGGTTGTGACTTGGGTGAGGTCAGAGAGCCTGCAAGTGGAGTCTTGCTGTGCTCCTGCTCTCCAGAGCCATCCCTTGTGTGGGGTGCATGATGACTTCATGGTCTTTGTGCACAACTGAGTGTTCTGGTATGAGGCTTACACACCAAAATCCACTGATATATAACTCTAAAAAAAAACTCCACTTATTTTTTAAAGTACTAAATTATTTATTTTTGTTGTTGTTACTGTTGTATCAAAAATGACCAGATAGAAGGGAAAGGGCTGACTGATGAAAGTTCATCGTGTAGCTTGTATGGCAAATGTATAGAGAAAATAATGTCATATGTTTTTAATTAATAATTAGTGTTTCCTGAGGGTTCCTCTCTTCTGTGGTAATAGAATAGTGAGCCATTACAAGTTCTTGGTATGGGGAAAAATCAAGCAACCAAGAAAATTCTCAGAAGTTGAAAATACAGAGAGATTTAAAAAACGGTTGGACAAAGTGAGACTAGGTTCAATTACATAAGCAAACATAGCACAAGTGCAAGTCTGGGCCTCTAAAACCTTATCACAGAAAACCAGAGGAGCACTGCTAGACAAATGCCTCACTAACACTGGTTCTCTTGGATCTGGGTGGGGTGTGTTTGGTGGGGTTGTTGGGGTTTTTGGTGTTGCTTTTGAGTGATTTTTGGGCAAAAATGTGCTGAAGATAACTAATGGGAGATAGAACATGAAGTTACCTTGGCCTTTATTCAAATGTTTTTTAGTTCTTTATGCTTTGGGCTGTGTTTTAGGAAAATATATGCACATCCTTCCCTAGTCTTGCTATATTTGCTTGGATCTTGAAATTCCATGCCTGAGTTTCACTGGTGTCCTTTAGTATTACAATACTGAAAGATTAGAATTTCTCCCAGAGCTAAATAATATGCTGAAAGACGTCTCAAAGCAAGTATATGCAAATAATTAAAAGTAATGTTAAAATAAACGTCATCTGCTCTGAATTTCAGCGCAGCTTTTCATGCTTTGAGTAGCGTGTTGTTAGTAGTGGTTGCTCTCCTGCAGCTGCAACCTTGTTTCAGGCTGCCTTGGTTGGAGAACACAGAAAACATTGACAGTTTCCAGTGGTAACCACTGTGTCAGACGGGCTTCTGCAGGAGGGCAACATGGATATCTGTTCCATATTCTCCTGTTCTTAAGGCTTTCTTAATTACTGTCATATGAAAGGGGGCCTGTGTAAAATTCTGAGGGGGGAAAAGAGATTTGATGGTGTGCAGTTAAAAAATAAACAGCATTCAGGTTCTTTAAAGCTGGAAATGGCACGGACTTGTTACAACAGCCCGGGGCTCTCAACATCATCTCGTTCCAAAACTGCTGCTGCTCAGTCCAGACATCTCTTGACTCACTGAACAGAGCCGAGCCATTAGACAACTGATTAATCTCACAGGGGGTTAGAAGGACTCCGTGTGGCTTGTGATGTGTTAAGTAGCTAAACCAGTTAATTTTGGAAGCAGCAGTGTCACTCCTGCGTGTGCTGTGGCTGGCACTGGCAGAAGTGGTGCTGCGTGTGCAGCTGCTGTAAGGGATCTGAGGCCCTAAATTGAAGTTACATGGGAACATCCAGATCTGCCCTAGCACCACTTACAGTCTGCAAAGAGAGAAGGGTGGTGATGTCTATTAGATACCTAAATTACAGCTTGGCTTTGCCAGCTTCCTGATGGTTTAGTCCTGGCCCAGTAGGGTGGTAGGTGTGATACCTGCCAGTCATAGGGATTATCTTATTTTTTTGTCAGCCCCAGTAAGTAAATGGGCTTGTAATGCTTGGGTTTGGCAGTCAGATAATGTAGACGTGGTACTCAGCCCACTTAGAAAATACAGCCTAACTCCTGCCCTCAGAAAAGTACTTAGAGTGAAAGGCCATGGCTTTTGTCAGACGTGAAGGAGGTGGAAAAGTTGGATGTTTTACTTTACATTAAATGATTAGATTGGTTCAGCTGCTTGTGGATCCACAGCCTGGAACAGGGTAGAGGCTGGGAGTATTTATTTGTGGTGGTGATACCATTTACTGTGCTTTGTGAGATGGAACCACTGTCATCTCACCAGACTTGTACCTTTTCTGCTGAAAAGCTCTACCAAGTCTAACAGTAAATGGGTTTTTTCTGCTCAGGATCCCTGTCTCATTTGCTGCAGGGAATTGCAGTCATAGTGGACTGAAGGATTTTGTTCGAAATAAAGTCTTTGCAAATTGTGTCATTGTGTCAGAAGAGTCTCAAGTCGAGTGTCCAGATGCCTTAGAGGTGTTGAATACTCTGAGCTTGGTAAACTGGGGGCTGTGACAGATGAGCTGTGTGGTGCTGCACATCCTGAAGAATCGAGCTTGGCTGAGCTCTTGACAATCCCGTGTTCGTTGGCTGTTCCTAGGAGGGACCAGTCACCCTCCAGTTGTCTCCGACTCCCGGGATCCTAGGTCAGATACCAACTCATTTGTTGCTTAGTGAGAAGTGCTCTTGAGGACAGGGCAGGTAAGCCCTGATGTTCATGTTAGCTCTGTGAACACCACAAAACAGGGGATGGCTCCTTCTCCAGCATTTTTGTGTCTAGTGAAAGGGAAACATAGAAAACCAGTGTATTTATCGGTTTTTAGTGGCAGCTAAAGAGGAGGGTAAAGTTTATTCGAAGTCTGTGACCAACCCCAGGGCTTTCTGAACAGTTCAGCTGTTTAGCTTAAGTGATGACACTGACCACATGTGTGATTTTGTCAAAGAAGAAAACTACTTTAAAATTAGAACAGAAACTTCATAGCTGACAGAGTATAATATGAAATGAAGTAGATCTGGCCTGAGCCTATACACAGATAAATATGCAGATGGTACTTGAGGAAGCACAGACATTTTTCTGAGAGGCTGTGTTTTCCAGGAGTGGCTTTGGATTTCAGTTCCAGAAAAACACCCCCTTTTGGATTTAATAATGGTTATGGGTCAAATAAGAGAAAAAAAGATTACTGATTATTTACTTGCTGCTTTCTTCCTAAGTTTTTAGAAGTTTAGTGTTTAACTTGTTGAGGAGTAAAACCAAGTAAGACTGATGAAACCCTAAGAGACCAAGGGTCAGTGGAGCTCAGGTATCAGGGGATAGCTGAAAAAAAGAAAACAGCAGCAAGTACAAGGTGTACTTCTCAGTCTGCCTCCCTGTCTGCTGTTGCTGTGACCTCAGGGCCTGAGGCAGTGCTCACAGCTGGGCTTCCAGCAGTCAGTACAAATTCTTTATTACATTTAGTTTTTCTGATCTGCTAATAATCATTTATATTCCTGGCACATGAAGGTGTCTTTGATGGCGAGTTCTGTGTGTGACTTCAGCATAGTCTTTGTAACCTTCTTATTCTTTCTGAATTATTTGTGGAGCTTGTACATTGATGTACCCCGGGGCTGGTAAACAGTTTGGTAAGCACTGCTCTAGAGGAACACAGTGTCTTCATGTTGTTCCTTTTCTGTATGCCTTGTACCTGCATTCTGACAGCTGTGAAAGAAAGAGGGACTGTTCCATTTTCTCCCCCAGTAAAAAGTGAAAATAGATCACAGGATTTTTAATATGACAAAGATGTGCACATACTCTTCCAAGTCTTGCATACATGGGGGACCTCTCCTTTTTTTAATTTCTTTTCAGGGTTTTTTCTTTCCTAGTAATAATTACACTTCTACTTTCATTTACTGTTTGAATTCCTTTTTTCTAGTTGGAAGGGGAAAAAAATTACAAGTTCTTGTTCTCTTCTCTCTAAATATCAACAATGCAGCTGGCAAGTTTTGTCAGCCTTTCTTCCAAGGAACAACCAAGTGAAATTGTCAGAAACTGATTGTGTGCTTTAAAATTTGGCTCTGCCTGTTACGTAGTTGGAAGGTGTGAGAGTGCAAGTATAAAAGCTTGAAACCTAATTTAAAAATAACTGACCTTATCATATAGCAATTTATTCTATACCCTTCAGCTCACCTTACTAGCAGAAAAAAAAGTTTCTCATTCTGCCAAGCTGAGGGCTCAGATTCTAATTATTATACAGTCATATGTTTAAAGGGTATCTAAATGAAAAGCAGAAACTGCAGGCTAATTTAGACTCGCCATGAAAAGCTGTGTAACTTTCCTAAGCTGCAGGTGGAAACTTCACATTTGTACCAGCTTACTGATGAAACCCCAAACCATATGTGTGTGTATTAGAGACAGATTAGCTTTTGCTTCTTTGGGGGGTGTAGTTAACCTTGGTTTTTAGGCTACTAGCTTGCATTTTAAAGTAGTTTGCATTTTTAACGAGATCAAGAACTTGCTGTGAAGAAAGCTAAAAATCTTTTTTTTAATTTATTTCTAGATATGAGAAATGAGTGTTGGACGCAGAAGATTAAAGCTGCTGGGAATTCTGATGATGGTAAACTTTTTTATTTATGTGATTGTGGAAGTCTCGAAGAGCGGCAGCCAAGACAAGAATGCAAAAGGCCGTGTTGTTATACCACGTAGCAAATTCTGGAGGAAATTCACTCCTCACAAAGCTTATTGGAACAAACAGCAACAGAAGCTTGAGCTGCTGTACAACCCTATTCTGTCCTTGCTTTCCAATATGACTGTGGAAGAGAACTTGGTTTCTAACCTGAGTGCCCTTAGTTCCTGTGACCCTGACCCCTTGGTGCACTCAGAGGTTAGTGACTTTGCAAACTTGCCAGAGAGATTCAAAGACTTCCTCCTCTATCTGAGGTGTAGAAATTACTCATTGCTAATGGATCAGCCAAACAAGTGTGAACAGAAACCTTTCCTGCTGCTGGCTATTAAATCACTTATACCCCATTTTGATAGAAGACAAGCAATCAGGGAATCCTGGGGCAAGGAAATAGAATCAGGGGATGTGATAGTCAGAAGGGTCTTCTTACTTGGGCAGACCCCACCAGAAGATCATTTTCCTGACCTTTCACACATGATTAAATTTGAGAGTGACAGCCACCGAGACATTCTCCTCTGGAACTACAGAGACACTTTCTTCAATCTGACTCTGAAAGAGGTGCTGTTTCTGAAGTGGGTCAGCAGTAGCTGTGCAAATGTCCAGTTTATTTTTAAGGGTGATGATGATGTTTTTGTGAATACCAATCAGATCCTGGATTACTTGAAAAGCTTATCAAAGGAAAAAGCCAAAGACTTATTTATAGGTGACGTGATCAAAGATGCTGGACCTCACAGAGAGAAAAAATTGAAGTACTACATCCCGGAAAGCGTTTATGAAGGTTCGTATCCCCCGTACGCAGGAGGCGGTGGCTTCCTGTACTCTGGTGATCTGGCACTAAGACTGAATAATGCATCTGACCAGGTTCTCCTCTACCCTATTGATGATGTTTATACTGGAATGTGCCTTCAGAAGCTTGGGCTTGCTCCAGAAAAACACAAAGGCTTCAAAACATTTGATATCGAAGAGAAATACAGAAATAACATCTGTTCCTACACAAACTTAATGTTAGTGCATAGTAGAAAACCTCAAGAAATGATTAAGATTTGGACACGCTTGCAAGACCCACACTTAAATTGTTAAAGTAATGTGCATAAGTGTCTTAAGTCCAAAAAACTTTGCGAGTTTGGATCACTGAAATTCTGTTTAATAGTTGAATTTTTGCTGTAGACTTTTTCCTGTACTTCTGAAATCAAGAGTAATACTAAAATTTGAAGGGATGACTTGAAGACTTGGTCCTGACTTTTCCACTGGTGGTCCTGGTAGTCGTTATGTTTCAATATTGGTCTTAATTTTAAAAAAGACTTTGAGGCTATAACTAGCTGTCAGTGACTGGTTAGCTGGAAACAGGGATTGCCTGCCACAATGCATCTTTCATCAGTTGTCATGGTGGAAAATATTTTTCCCTTGAGTAGTGTTTGTGTGTGGAAACCACTGTAAATTCAAAATACACTAACTGGGGGAATGTAGTTTTACTTTTAGGTATGATACAGTTATAAGACCTTAAATTTTGTTGGTTTTTGTTTTTTTTTTTTAATTTATAGTTTTCAGTTCTTTTGCACCCTGAAACAGTATTTTTTTTCCCCTTCACTTACAATCCTTTGTGCAAAGTGTATGTGAGTCTGAAGGATTTACCCTTTCATTAGATGAAGCTATTTTTTTTTTACCAAAAAAAAAGCAATATTCTGCTTGAAATGCCCCCTAAGAGCTCAATGTGTAAGGAAAAATAGGAGGTGTTTTTCAGGGCTGGGCAAGTAGGGCTGCCCCTGCCTCAAGCCTACATGCTGAAGCTGACTTATGGCTCATGTTACTTGTGTGGAAAGCTATTCTGGTCAATCCTTGTTTTCTGTTTGGGTACTAAATGTGATCAGGTAGGTTGATTTGCTGGAAATGACTGAAATTGCACATTGCTTCTTGAGAGCATTGTTTGGGTTGCCTGTAAAGCGCTGGTGAATCTGGAATTGTGCACATCCCAAGAGTTTCGAATTCCAAACCAAGCTTTGAAGTTTGCATGAAGCCTCATGTAGAGTTACATGTGTCCTCGAAACTCAGATCTTCTCTATTTCCACATTGTGCTTATAAGAATTACTCTAAATAGTGGTGGCTTTCTTTGTATATGTAGAAGTGCCTGTCTATTTATTGTTCAGATTGAAGACCAAAACATTTTCTTAAATATATTTTGTGTAACATTTTATTTGTATAGTGGTGTCACTCGGATATTTAAATAGAGCATGATATTTTAAATCTGAGAAGTGTAACGTGGTAAATAAAGCTAATTGTTATTTTTGAATTTGGAGAATAAAATGTAATTTAAATATTTCTGGTAGTGCTTCATGTTGACTTGCAGTGCAGTTGCACTCTACATTTCAGAAGTTCAGGAACAAAAGGTTTTATTTGACAGATTTCACTAAGTTTGTGTAGCAGACTATCAAGAAAATGTCATGGCTGTACCTATATTTATTAGATGCTGGAATAGATGGACAACTCTGGTGAAAGCAAGGGGGACATGAAGTGCCTTGGGACAAACAGTATGTACAGAAATAATTGTACAGTACCATTGCTGGTGCAATTGAAAGGACCGAAGGAGTGGATTGAATGGCTGGCACTTGAATTTTTGATTGAAACAACTTGGGCAGCAACACCCTCTTTTGCTTTTTCATCTACTTTCTTTTCCCTTTGTTTACCTGGAACAAATGGGGTGCTTTATTTGTCCAGGGAAAGGTGAGGAGTTCTGGTCTTCCTCCTCTTTGTTCTGTAGATGATCATGTTGACCCCAGCACAGATAAAAGGCTGTGCTGTGAGGTTTGACCCTTGTGCTTTGTCATTCTTCATGGGAAGTGGCACCTTCCTGAGAGTGCTGCAGGTTTTACACGAGTTACTTCCTACCCTGTTTCTTTAAATATTCATGGGATTTTGCTCAAGATTTGGGCCAAGTACAAGAAGTAAGTTATGCTGGTGGTGAGAGATGCAGTGTTGAGAGTCTTGGTGTGGGGGAAGGAGGAAGGGGGAAAGAGAAAAGGTGATGCAGAGATGAAAAGGAGAGCGCTGGAGGAAAGTGGAGAGAAGCAGAGACAAGTGAGCACTGAACAAACTGCTGAGGTCTATGGGAGGATCAAACACAAACAGGAGGATTGCAGCAAAAAGAGGGACAGGAAAAGAGCCCAAGAATTAAATTGTGTGAGTAAGATAGGGTGGAGTGCACATGTGATGTTAAGTTAAATGGGTGTGATTGATGGGTGCCAGCATTAATTATTTAATTTATACCTTTCCTGGCAACCATGAGGTAAATCCACGTCTCTTGCGTGGGGCACACCTGATAATAAGGAAAAACAGGCTGAGTGGCACCTGGGGAGGAGAAATGCTGTGAAAAAGCATTTGCCCACCTTCTGAAGGGACAGGAGAAAGGGCAGAGGACAAGGCTGAGCAGGTGGTGCTGGGGGAGAGATCTGACAGACCACTTTTGTTTACTTCAAGTGTGGAGGAGCACTGGTGACTCTCCCTTGGTCCACTCTCACAGAGAAAGAATTGTCTTGGCAAATAATTGGGAGCGTGTGGAGTGAAGAGTAAGGGAAATTAATAATGGAGATAAAGGAACAGAATGCATCCAAAAGCACAATGGGAATGGGATCTGGGGGCAGTTGGGACACAGAAGGTGAAAAGTCTTTAAAAAGTATGTGCAACAACCTATAACTGCTGTGTTCTCTACTGTATCTTTCGTAAATGCTGTTAAATTTCTGTTGTATTTTTTCTTAAAGGGAAGGAGTCTACTAAGATGAAGGCACGAGAAAATTTGACTACAATAGAAAGAATGGAATTTGGAAGCTGAAATAAGATGTGTTTGGATGAGACAGCTGAATGTGGATGCAGTCTTTGTTCTTTTTTCTTCCCTGAATACAGCAGGGAAAATGAAGTGCTGCTGTGATTAAATAACACTGCATCAGGGTGAGCCATTAGAATCCATTAGCTTGTTTGTATAAAGGCTCAAGCCTTTGTTCAAAATCCATTTGGGAGGAGAAAATATAGGATAAGGAAGGTAAATGAGCTATAATTAATGCACAAATTATAAGGTTTATCTTCCAGAGGATGGAGTCCCTGTTTTCTGCCAGTTGTTCCTTGGCCTGACTGCATTTTACACTTGCATCCCTACCTCCCCTCCCCAGTTTTATGTAGGCTTGACTGAAATGTAGCACTTGACAAGGCTGGTGATAAGAGAATTCCTGGCAGTCCTTTTCTGCATTTCAATGTTGGGAGCACAGAAAGCCAAACTTCAAAAAGGGTTTTGGCTGGAAAGTACAAGAAAGAGGCCTATTAGGATTCACTGGAAGGTTTGCATTGGGTATGCAAGTCAGCGGGACCCTCATGCAGGTGCTGCTGAATCTGGGGCTTTGTAATGCAGCAGTGAGCAATCCAGCTCTTATCTGGTGCTGCAGTCCTGGTCCAGCCCACAGTCAGCATTCACCCCCTGAAATTTGGCCTCCTTTCCTTCTGCCTTACTGCACCTCATATGTGTCAGATTTCCTCTTAGTTAAGAGTTGGTCTCCTGGAGGGCACCAATCCAAATGAGTTCATGTCTGCACTGAACTATTTCCTTCTCAGAACAGTCATGAAACAACTTAGCAAGCAAATAGGGCAGGGAGAGCTGCTTAATGGATCCCTTTAATCGACAGAAATCTAGTTCTTAATGGAGCAATGTCTGTCAATCAGACCAAGTACAAAACACTCATCAAATTCTCTCCTTTCTCTTCCTCTTAACTTTTTAAAGCTGTTGCCTCCTTCCTTGCTGAATGAAGGTGAGAACAGGAGTGGGAGTGAGAATGAAAGTAAACTGCAGTTCTGGAAGCAAATTTTCAAAATGTCAGGAGTGATGAAATACTGAGCAGGTCAGTTTTTCTGTTGTTGTGCTCAGACCAGGTATTGGATTGCTAATCACAATTTATATTTGTATTGGCTCAGCCTGCTCTAAGTAGTGTTTAAACAGCTCTGGCTGGATTCTGCTGAGGGGTGGCTGAGCAGCACCTTGTGGGCTTTGCACGCCAGCCTTTTCAAAAGATAAGGAGTCCATTTCCATTTGTCAATGAAAACATTTGTACCCTGTCTAATAACACCTGACTGAACCAGGTGAGCTGGGCTTATGTTGGTTTTGGGGTGTCAGTCATCACTTCAGGCTCTGTTCACATCTGTGGAGGTATGGAACAAATCTCTGTGACCTCAATTTTTGCTCAGTTTTCTGTGTTTTCATGTTACTGCCTTTATATATATTTTTAAGTTGCCTTCAAGCCTAAAGACTTGAGACATGAGTTATGTGCTTCAGATGAATGCATACTGAGTTTTCTGTCAGAAATGCTTCGAGATAAACTTGACAATTTCAAATTCTGTAACTCAGAGAATTCCAATCAGTCTCCTAATTTCTAGGCTCCTTGATTTACCTCTGTGTGTTCAACCTGTGTCATTTCCAGTGTTTCCTGCTAAGCTCTCCATCTAAATGAATCCATCTTTCCTGCCTTGTCATATGTTTTTGTTCCCTCTGTCCCCTCATCTCTCTCATCTCTTGGTGGACACTGTACTTGGCTCTCCAGTAGACATCAAGGTTTTCTGAGAAAGTTACAAAAAATTTACAAAATCACTTCTATCAGAGCCTGATTTCAGACTGTTTCAAACAGGGGAGTAAATGGAGGAAAAATGCTGAGCTGCCAAACAAGCTGTAAACTTTGTCATTTTGGAGTTGGCTTTTCTACTGCCACTGCTATTGTAATTTTTTTAAACAAAACTGCTCTGGGTAGAATTGGAGAGAGTTTCTGCAGGGATTAGAAATAATCCCCAGACATTCCCTGTTAGATTTTTAAGACCATGCCTGCAGCTTAGTATTTGCTGTGACTGTATTTTTGTGTCCTTTTCCCCTCTTCCTCCATCCCTCTGGATAAATTTTGGCTGAATTCTGTAAAGATGATTCATTTGTGTTTCCTCATTTGTCTTAAATGTGTCATGTTTTTCCTCACCACTCCTGTCACTGATACTCCCCCTCTTCCAGAAAAGCCAATGTCTTATGACAGCCCAAATTTTGCCTTTTTTTTGGGGACATCACATCCACACTGCTGGTAGGTCATCCAGAATGCCTATGTGTGATGAGTATTTGAAAGTCCTGCTGAAAGGAAGTCACAAGTTTTAAGAACACAGACCTTTTATTTGTACAACAAATTTGAATTGTGACTTCAGAAAACATCATCCTTCAAGCCACTTCTTCTCTGTCTTCTTACCTGTAGGATCATTCTGCTTCTTAATATTCTGTGCTCTTGCTTTTCCTGCTATCCTGCACCATTAGACTGTGATAGGGCTGGAAATAGTGGTGTGGTTTATGCTCAGTCTATAGAACTGCTTGGCTAAGTGGGGAGGCTCTCACCTGTCTTTAGCAGATCAGACCTGAAAGCTCACCTGTGTGCCTGCTATTAGAGCAACATTTTACTGAGCTTTGAATTATTCTTCAGCAATATTGAAGAAAACAGAAGCATGTTTATGTCCCTAGAGACCCCTTGTGCTTTTCTTCTTTTCCAAAATCTGCATAACAGTTTGCATTTCTTATCATCCCATATTCAAACATATACAAATTCTTTTTGAGAAACAAATGGGGGGGAGGAGCAGTGGATGGGAAGAAATCCCCACTACAGATGTTACAAAATCTTGCCAGGGTAGGAAACACTAGGCTGAGATGAACTAAAAAAAGAACCCTCACTTTGGTGGATATCTTATTTAGTCACAGTGGGAAGCGGGAGAAATTTTTTAAAGATAAAAACCCCAAGGAAATAGTCTCATTTTCCTTTCCTTTCAATCTTTCTAGTATGTAAGAAAACAGACTTCTGCTTTAGATTTAGGTTTGGCTGCTGCCCAAGAGACCTAAAAGTTTCATCATCTTGTTACTTCTTGTCCACTTTGTTTATGAGAACATAAATGCCAGAGAGGCCAAGTGAATTGTTTTTCTTAGGCCTGTCCTGCATGACTTGGATCCAGTGCCAGCAGCAATGATGCTTAGCAGAAGATAATGGTGAGTATCCCCATCAGGAAAGCTGAAAGCTTTGTGTTTCAGCTTTGTGATACCTGGAAACTGGATGACTTTCAAGAGAGGTGAGCTTTGTTTGTGCCCTTCAGTTTTCAGAGAGGCTCCTTGTTGGAACTAGTCTGGGAATTTGTTCTTAGAGCTGTCATCTCTTCTCCATAAAAATACAATCTGGATTGCTCTACTGTATGCTCAAGGAAGAGCTGGACCTCCCCAGGGCTCCATTGGCTCTCCAGCCCCTCAGAGAAAGAACAAACACTTCTGGTAGCTCCTGAGAGCCTTTAATCTTTAGAAGCTGCTTCTAGACCTCAGTGGTTGGTGACAAGCAGCAAAATTATCTTCCAGGAATTTCTCTTTTTTTTTTTTTTTAACCTTCACTGGCAAAGAGCTCTACAACAAATAAATCCTGTGCTGTATGAACACCCAGCATCCAGTCATCCAGTGCTCCAAGAATGAAAAGATTGTCAGAAAGCTGCCTTCTCCCTAGATGCAGTTTAAGTGAACACTGGGAATATTTTCCATGTCTTTTTGGACTGAACCATCCCCAGGGGGTGTTGCTGGTACGGCCATCAGTGATACAACTTAAACCTGATGCCCTGGTGACCTTTTAGTAACAAAGAATGTCAGGAAAAATGGAAGGTTTATAGGTAGTCAGTGGTTATCTATGCAGTGAACAGGGTTTTTCTTTATGAAGTGTATCTTCATGTCAGCAGTTCTTATTCAATGCTGATTATCCATTTATTCTTCTTCAGCTTTCTAATTTTTAATTCCTGTGCTTTCTTCCTCACAGGAAAGCATGATGAACCATTTTAGCTATAAGTGGAATAATATTAAATGTGAAAAAATTGGGTTCAGAGCCATCAGAAAGTGAATGCCACAGTAGGGGCATTATGGAGGGGTTGTCTTTGGACCTCTAATTTAAGCATCTCAAAACTTTTCAAGAATATTCATTTTTTGACTTAAGTTTGGAACTGACATCCTTCAATTTGCTACACTGAAATAGCATTTGCTTATGCCATAATTTGTTATATTTCCCAGCTCTCCTCTGAGCCTGAGCCATCCTGTGTGATGGAGTTGCAGCTGCCTGCTGGAGAGTGAAGTGAAATATGTGCCTGTGTCTTGGGAGGAGGGACTGGCACAGACACAATGCACTGAATCTCAGATGATGATGCCTGGTCCCTTATTCCACTTCCCAGGCAGTTCCAGCACGTGTGAGGGTCCTTTTGTGCTTGCTTGTGCTTTTTCCACACTCCAAGTGTGCTTTAGGGGAGAACATGGACCTCCTGCTCTGTGTGGGTGGTTAAGAGTGTGACATCCTTTCCCAGATTTATTTTTGCTTGTTTCCAGCTGGTTCATACTGGATTTTCCCTCTTTGAGGATGTTTGTTGCATGTAGCTGGTGTTTAATGCTGGAGAGACCTGACTCATTCTATCAGGGTAATTGATACTGACCTAATTACACAGATGAGTTTTGCACTGGAATTTTTAATGGCACTTAATAATTACAAGAGTCCTTCATTCCCTGTGTCTGATTCAGTCCTTTGCCTCGTGTGGTTTCAAAGAGCAAGGGCATTGGATGGAATTATTTCCCTCTTTATTTTGTGTTGGGTAACTCTCCGAGCCTCCTGCCTGGGGAAGCAAGGGGAGCTGCTGCTGTTTAACCTCTCCATGGAGAAAGCTGTGCTTGAATCCAGTGGCACTCTGTTGTCCCTCATCCAAACAGGATATGGATGAACTCTGATCTCTGTAGGAGATTGCCAAGGTCAGATGAGGATAGGGAGACTCTCAGCACAGCTCTGCCCAGGAAACCCTTAAGCCACATTTGCTGAATGGGAACCCTCCTAGACAAGATCCATCTTGTTCCATCCTGTGGATGGTGCCTGTCTGGAGAGGAGGCTCCTACACAATCCAGGAGAGTCACTCCACACCTTCCTAACTGGTGAATGTGCAGGGCTGTGTCCCAGAGCACTGCAGCAAGGAGAAGCCCAGGTGCTAATCATCTCTCCCAGTTTCCAGCCCCAGCAGCTGTGCCCTTCCCCAGCACTCCAGCCAGGCAGGAATGCTGCCAAGCCCAACCTCACGTGGAGCAGCTGAAGTGGTAAATGATGCCCTTCACCTGCCTGTATCTGGTGCACCGAAATATTTTAGAGGCTTTTTTCCCCCTTCTGTCTGCATCTTGTCCGTGATTTCAGGTGAAGCACAGTGGTTTTGAAAAGGCCATGGATAGTTTATTTCCAGATATGTGTTTACACCTTGCATATCTCTGGGGGCTAAACAGATGCCAGATCACCCGTGTGGGTGTAGTTCTGTGAGAGTGAGCAGATAAACATGGTGCTGCAGAGGTGATGTTATTGTTTCTATCCCCAGAAGGGAGATCTGTGAAAGGAAAGGGCACAAACTGCAGAAGAAAACAACCAACCTTTCATTTAGTCTCCTGGCATCTGCTTGAATAAACTGGTGCTGCTTTAACATTACATTAAGCATCCCTCCCACCTACTTTTTAAATTCCTCTCAAGTTTCTTTTATTTTGATCTATTCTGAATATCCCAGGGTCTGGAATTTGTCTTTTATAATGATATATGACTCGGCATGATGCCAGCCTCAGCTCCAGGGAATCTTTGTTCATGCTGAGATCTGAAAATCTTTATAAACATACACTTGGAGGAAAAATAGTTTGGTATTCAAGAAGCAGGATAAAGAGTTAGAAGAGCTCCAAGTGCTCTTAGCAGCTGTGTCATATCTTACTGGGCTGACATAGAGTAAATCCACAGCCCATCCATTTTTTCAATATGCACACAGTTTGGGTTTCCTCATCCCTAAAGGACGGAGGGGA